AAAAGTGGACCACTCAAATTTTTGACGTTTTTCAAGATGCGATAACTTTTCATAAGATGCGTCCTTTCTGTTAACAGTCCCGGATTTCCGCCTAGGCCTTGCAGGCCCTGTACTATATTAGGCACCCGGCAAGCTTAGGTGCCCCAGCCAAGAGCCAATGAATATGAATGAAAATAAAATAATAATCAGATGATAGTGTTCTACTTGTTCAATATACTAAAAAGAAGGTATTTGTCATATACACTATCAGTTTATTTATCTAGTTGTGTTACCATGAGAGATATTGATGTTTTTCGATATTTGATCAGTTCGTGTTATTCAACACCAAAGTGATGTACTATACAATCATTTGGTGATTATTTTGACACTGTATCTGTTGCGTTCCTGCTTTTACTAATGATATGATATGCGAATAGTTTCCGGATATTTTTCTGTTGTAAACGCACAATGATTGAGTGCGCTGCGAAACGGTGCTTTCTTGTCTGCATCTGAGTGTCGATCATACGAAAGCGCTGAACGGACATGATACTTTTTTTTTTATAATTGCCAGTTCAAACTTGCAATCAGCCATAATTGCCAGTTTGATCTGGCAATTAGCCATAATTGCCAGTTTGAACTGGCATTTACCTATAATTGCCAGTTTGAACTGGCAATTATCCATAATTGCCAGTTTGGACTGGCATTTAGCTATAATTGCCAGTTTGAACTGGCAATTAGCCATAATTGCCAGTTTGATCTGGCAATTAGCCATAATTGCCAGTTTGAACTGGCATTTAGCTATAATTGCCAGTTTGAACTGGCAATTAGCCATAATTGCCAGTTTGGACTGGCATTTAGCTATAATTGCCAGTTTGAACTGGCATTTAGTTATAATTGCCAGTTTGAACTGGCAATTATCCATAATTGCCAGTTTGGACTGGCATTTAGCTGTAATTGCCAGTTTGAACTGGCATTTATCTATAATTGTCAGTTTGAACTGGCAATTAGCCATAATTGCCAGTTTGAAATGGCATTTATCGCTTCCGTACGAATGGATCTAGTCATGTTATCGCCATCTATACCTTTTCAACTTCAATTTCGGAAAAAGTAATCTCGATTTCAGAATTGGTTAGTTCGATTTCAGAAATGGTAAACTCAATTTCAGAATCGGTGAGATGAATTTCAGAAAAAGTCCATTCAATTTCAGAAATGGTAAGTTGTATTTCAGAATTGGTAGGTTCAATTTCAGAAAAAAAATCCTTATATTTGTTCGAAATGTTTCCAGTTGTATGTGAGATTAACAAACCATATTTACAATATTCAACTTGTCAAAAACAAGTCAATAACATAATTATAATCTCAATTCAATCCACAGATGCCTTCCATCCGAATCGCTGGAAAATAATAGCGTTGCACATGATTATGAGAATGAAAACACATTTGAGGTGTTATCATTTTCATTGAATGATCTGCACATTCCTCAAGACATCGCAGTCTGAATTCTATCTGGTTGAGCAAGCTGTTCGGATCCCCAGCTATGACCCTTTGGCGATGCTCTTGCAAGAAGCTCTTCACTTCTGACTTGAAGGCACCCCATATTTATGTTCAATCTGATTCAACATAGGGCTCTCAAACACCGTTCATCTACTGTAAACAATCTTCTCTTTTGCAATTAAAATCATTTCAAACATATAAAAGGATTTCATCTTCTGAAATTGAACCTACAAAAAATAATAATTCTGAAATACAACTTACCATTTCTGAAATTGAATGGACTTTTTCTGAAATTCATCTCACCAATTCTGAAATTGAGTTTACCTTTTCTGAAATCGAACTAACCAATTCTGAAATCGAGATTACTTTCTCCGAAATATAACTCACCGATTCCGAAATTGAAGTTGAAAAGGTATAGTGACGTCAAAAAACTAATGCGAACGCGAACGATTATTTCGACCAACGCAAAGGGCGAGTTGTGGACTGATAATGAATTATTGGCATTCAATTACTCCGCTGTGTCGTTAGGGACCTATAGTATATTGTTCAACAAGAACGGAATGTTAGTGATTTTTCCCCGAGAATGAAATTTGCAGCATGAGCCGTAAGCGAATAATGCTGCAATCATTCGAGAAGGAAATCAGCATTCCCTGCGAGTTATACACTATAATTCTCCTACGGCTGTGACAGATAACAGCGACATTCTTAATTTCTTCGTCTTGTCATATGATTTCCTCTCAACTAATGCGCATCTATTAGAGAAAGCTATCATTGCTTGAACTGTGACATTCCATTTGCGGGGTCCTTTCGTACGAAAGCGCTAAATGCCAGTTCAAACTGGCAATTATGGCTAAATGCTAGTTCAAACTGGCAATTATAGTTAAATGCCAGTACAAACTGGCAATTATGGCTAATTGCCAGTTCAAACTGGCAATTATAGTTAAATGCCAGTTCATACTGGCAATTATGGCTAAATACCAGTTCAATCTGGTAATTATGGCTAATTGCCAGTTCAAACTGGCAATTATACCTAATTGTCAGATCAAACTGGCGATTATAAAAAAAAAGTATCAAGTCCGTTCAGCGCTTTGGTACGATCAACACGACTCTGATAAGTGTATGAAATGAGAGTTAAGGTGGGTTTATACAGCAATTAAAATATAATATGGAATAAGATAAGATAATTTAAGGAATAAGAAATAAATCCACTGTTTAGACAGATAACTAAAATAAAATTATGATTGAGAAATTAACCAATCCAATCACATTATTGATGACAATGACGATTCATATTTCATGTTCTATGGAGATACTGTGACAGAATTCATTTTAGTCATGCGCATTATCATTTTCCGAATGTAATAAAATAAAACGATAGAAGTTGGTCAACATTTATTTTATTCTAATTCTTATTCTAAACTTATTATCTGTATGAACGGTTCAATGGAAATGCCCATTTTGAACTTTTTTATTTTATCTTATTCTTATTCCTTATTCCGTTTTATTTGCTGTATAAACTAACCTTTAAGACATTACAAAACATTTCTGAGCTGATACTATTTGAAGGCTGTCGAGAATCGAGCGTCAATGGAGCGCTAGTGCAGCCATCTTTAAAGGTTTATACAAAATATTTTTCTGTGCAAAAAAATTATGCCATGATATTTAATTTTATGATTTCACGTTTCAATCTGCTTCGATATAAGTACTCTATATAGCTTTGCAGTATCAAAATCATCATATATAATTGATGAATCTACTTAAAATTTATTTAATGCATTATTTTCACGAAATCGTCCGATCTTATTGACACATATCAATCTGTATACCAGAATTCGTGGATGATGATATACCTACACAATTTTTATTCACTCTTCAATGAGTTCAGGTTTTTCAGGGGGTAATTTCAACATCAGTAACATTATTTATTCACCCTAGCCCTAAATCTCATGATTCATATACATATGCACGGTTTTGATTTATTCGTGATTGATCAGGATGTAACTAGGTGTTAATTTCATATAATAGTTATATTTTTTGCGTTAACTTGAATACTACCACTATCGAAAGTAATTACTGTCCATCCTTCTGGTGTTTCTTTTGAATGGATATTTCAGAACCCCTTTAAATTACCAAATCCGTGTAATTTTTCACTATGAAGATGTGAATTGACACCACTGTTCACGGTATCATCAAATTTCTAATAATATTGATATAATATTGCTAATCAAGTGTTGATTTAATCAGAGTTATTTCTGAAATCCACTCGAATGAAATACCACCAGGAAATTTGTCATTGTGTACACATCACTGTAATAAGATCGAATGCATTCCTGGATAAGATATTCACTAGGCTTTGAGAGCAGCAGACAACAAAATAATAGTTTTTCGAATAGCGTTCGTGATTTGAGCTGCAGCTCTCATTTAAAAAAACATTTTCAATGAGGGTGAAAGTTATCGTATCTCGAGAAACATAAAAAAAAAGTGCGGTCCAGTAATTTCTTTGAGTACTTTATTTGATCTGAAATTGATTACATTCAAGCAAAATCATATTGTTCCATTTTCTTCTCGACCATGAACCTAAGTAAGTAGGTATGCATTTCCAAGAAGAAGGTAAACTCATTATCAACAATTTGACTGCCCAATTGTTAGAAGTCTCTTTCTGTGAGGAAAATTAATGGAATATCTGCTACCGATTCACTGATATTGTTTATTTCAAGACGGATTTTGGTCCATGAAAACACGTATTTTGTTGTTTTTTTTCTTCATCTCTTGGTGCGCACGTAAAAGAATCCCTGAAATGTTCGAAAAACATCGTGCGTTCCTACGGAGGATATGGAGAATCGTGTTCAACATTGAATTCATTTGACATTCAATGAGTAACAATGGTTCAAGGAATGCTATTAGTATAAAAACGACGAGTAGAGAAGAATTAGCATGTATGCGGTATGTGTACACCACCAGAAACTGATTACGTAGAAGGTGTGAGAAATTTTAGTTCCAACGATCAACAAAAACAATCAAAAAAATGTATGGCAAATTATATATACAGGTAATTCATGGACTGAAGAATTACAAAAGGTATTCCTATTTTTCGAAAAATTTTTTGTTGGTTGATGACATGCACCTTCATGAATATCGATAAATTCACCCACTGTGACGCCACTGGAAATATTATTCCGAATCTAATTATTGCAATAGAAGAAGCTCCATATTACAATTAACAAAACCACAACGTTTAATTGGAATTGATGGAAAGACAATCGAGTAATGAATAAAAATACGCTCTTCCATGGAAATATTAATACCCTGTATCTCGAAAACGAAGCAAGTTAGAACACATGTTTATATAAACTTTATATTTGGTGTTATTTAGATACACCCTGTATAGTAGTTAGGGTCTACCTACTGCTATCCAGAGTAGACATCAAAACAAGAAGAGTTAACTTTTTAATGTTAGATATTCTGTGCTTCCTGCCAATCAACGAGCGCGCTTGTTTGTTGTTGAACATTTGAAAAACACAGAACAGTAGAGTTCTGGCGCCGAAAGACTAAATCGAATCGAGTATACTGTTGCAGGAAGAGAAACTTCTCTCAAAGTATCCGGGAGTGAAAATCAAAATTTGAAAATGTCATAAAACGATGTACATATTTCTGGTGCATGGATTTATCAAAACAGTTCAATCTTGCACATTTCAAGGTAGGCCTTTTTTATCAACTCACCTTTATATAGCGTGTATTCATTGATGTATTAACGTCGAAAAATTCACCATGATGAAGTTCATGAAAGCATACATATATATAAATATATATCTAGACTAACCTTTACACATACTTTCATACTTACCATTATTCAACAAAAAAAATTTTTTTTTGACAACTGATTTTTTTATCGCTTGGAGCGCACGAAAGGAAATCCCTGTAATGTTCAAAGAACATCGTGCGTTCCTAGGGAGGATAGGGACAGGAGGTAGGTATTGGAATTTATTTTGAACTTCTGGAGATTATAATATGTTGTTGGGCATACTTCCACAGGCAATGAATTCCAGAGCCTAGCCGTTCTATGGATGAAGGAGTTTTGATAAAGTGCTGTTCGACATCTTTCGAGGTTGACAACGAAAGGATGTGCTGACTGGGCTTGTCTAGTTGTCTGACTGGTATTGCTAGTAAAGGGAGGATGGCAGAGATTTCCGAAAAACATTTCCCGTAGAAGTATCGATAGAAAAGTGAAAGGTCGCCGACCTTTCAACGGTGTTCCAATGATGTCAAAGAGTGAGTGAGTGTGGCGTCACCCACCAGGCGAATGACTCTTCTCTGGATGGAATCTAAGAGCATCAGCGTATGTTTTGGTGCTGAACCTCATATGTGGGAACAGTAATCTAGAACAGGCCGTATCTGCGCTTTGTACATCATGAGAAGCTCTTGAGATGTAAAGTAGATTTTCGCACGGAACAGGAATCCGAGTTTTTGTGAAGCAGCTTTTGTGATGGATCTGACATGATTATCCCATGGAAGAGTGTTGCTGATGGAAATACCGAGCATAGATATGGTGGGCTTGGTGGGGATGGTGGTGCCAGACATTACGATATCGGGCATACCGAGTTCCGCCTTTCTAGAGAAGATACAGGCTTGAGTTTTGGTGGCGCTGAATTCAACTAGGCTGTTGATTCCCCAGGCTGTGATTTCAGCAAGGTCTTCATTGACAGCATTGACCTGCCTGCGCGTGAGTTCTTAGTTTCCTGGGAAGAAATGGTAATTCTGGAAGAGAACGCAGTATGGAGGGTACTATCATCTGCAAAGCTGTGGATGGGGCGAGTTGTTACTCCCAACAGATCATTGATCCTTGTGGAACGCCGGAATTGATGCCAATGGTATCAGATGATACACCGTCCACCACCGCCTGAAAGAAAACTCGATAAGAGATGGCATAGCTGAGGTGGTAAGCCGTATGATGGTAGTTTGTGGAGGAGTCCTTCGTGCCAAACGCATTCGAATGCTTTCGATATGTCCAACGCGACTGCTAGAGATTTCCCGTATTTTTCTAATGAACCTTGCCATAAATGTGTGAGGTAGGCAAGTAGATCTCCAGTAGATCTTCGGTGGCGAAATCAGTATTGTCTATCATTGATGATTCCTGAGCTCTCCAGATATTTGGTAAGCTCAATATTGATGGCTTTCTCCATCACTTTGGAGATTACTGATAGCAGGGCAATAGGCCTGTAGTTGTTGGGCAGGTTCTTGTTCCCTTTTTTGGGGATTGGTTGGACTCTATTTGTCTTCCAGCATGATGGAAAAATACCTGACCTGTACGAGATGGTAAACATCTTGCAGAGAATCGGTGTTAATTCTGGTGCACATTTTTTGAGAATAATGGGTGGAATTCCATCAGGACCGTTAGCTTATTCGTTTTGAGACCAAGCAAAATTCGTCTGATAGTGCGTTGACGGAAGACGATTTCGGGCATTCGACTCTCAACGGGTGGAATGTCTGGCAGCACTTTTCCTTGGGAATCTGAAGTAGAGTTTGCTGCGAACATCTCTGCAAAAATATCTCCTTTCTCCTGCGATGTTGTTGCTAATGTGCCGTCGGATTTGGACAGTGGTGGAAGTGAACTATTTGAAATTTCTTCCGACTGCTTTAGCAAGGGACCAAAACGAACGGGAGCCATTGGGACAATCTATGAGTTTCGATCTTATCTTGGCATTGAATGTTTCTTCCGAAGCATCTATTGTTTGGCCGCAGGTATTCCTGGCATCAACGTATTCTGCTCTAGTCGCGAGGTAAGTGTTTTTGCGCCAGCGATGGTGGGCTGTTTGTTTTAAGGCAACAGTTCTAGAACAGTTTTTGTTGAACCAGGGTTTCGATGGTGATGATCTTTTCGAAGAATGAGGTATCTATGATATTATGAATTGTCTTTCTTCACTTGGTAGATTTGTCAGTTCAGTTTACCTCTTGTTTACCTCGGTAAATACTTGAAGTAACAAAGCTGTCAATAGTGTCAATCTTATAACTCCCAATTGAAGCTTAGGATTGTTCTCAAATCAGCGCTGCTGAAGCCTTATTACTATCATGACATTTGAGTCACATATTGCACGCCACCTATTCCGCGTTTCTATAACTCTGAAACACAAAAATTATGAATTCAAATGTCTAAAGGTGGATTTATGCACACCGCTTTTTCATCTATCTGTAATTTCACAATCATTAACGATTTTACTGATGAGTTGAAACTTGATATTCAGATATACATTTTTTATGTTGAAAACTGGAGCAGATTCGTTCCCGAAACGTCCAAAGCTAAGTGGAAATCTGAAATTTTCTCTATATACCTTCATTTCTCTTCTCCAAACCTTTTTGATACAAAATGTCACTGACAAGCTAGTGAATCTTCTAGGATCTCTGATAGGAAAATTCATTCTACTTACCCAATCTCTCAGGATTTGGGCAAAGTTCTGCTGCCAAAAAAACATAAATTGTTCCAGACAGACTCTTCTTGGTATTTTCTGATATTGTTTTGCTTACACAATTACAGATTTCCGAGGTGGGACTTGACCCAAAACGAGACATTTCAGTTTTTGAGTGACTATAATAGGTATGTCGAAGTTTGACAACCGTAGCACTCTAATGCTGGAGAACAGAATTCGTGATAGAAAATAAGCGTACGCCATCTATCGGAGTTCTTGAAAGCTGTCGCAGCGGTCTGTTTACATTATTTTCATTGGTTCACATTTGTTTTTTGTTTGTGGTTATTGGACATTACATCAAAACAGACCGCTCAGAAGTGTTCAAGTTGTTGCCGTCAGATGAAACGACGTGTTATTTTCTCTCATATTGTTTGTTTACCTAAATAGCCGCTGATATCGCATAATTATCATATGACTGCAATCAAGAAATTTCATAGGACCAGCCATCAGAGGTGAATGAAATAATCACTTGTATTTCAGAAATAATCAATTGTATCTCAGTCAATAGTCAATTCGATTTCAGAAAGCGTTATATTTTGTATTTCATATATTTTTTGAAATACGAGTGACGCTTTCTGTAATTGAATTGTTTATTCTGAAATACAATTGACGTTTTTAGAAATACAATAAGTATTCTGAGATACAATTGAAGCTTTCAGAAATTCAATTGACTATTCTGAAATACACTTGATGCTATCTGAAAAAACTGGAAAAATTTTATAAATAACGTTTTTCTTGACAGGCATACCTATACCTAAATGTCATTTCATTTCGGATAAATTGTTGAATACATCAATATACAGTGTGTGACCCGCTTGAAAGCAGGACATTTCAATGATTTTATCAATTCACTGATTTCGACGAACTTTTGTTGAATTTTGGAGCTTGAAAAACTGTACTTCAGACCGAGACTATTGAAATCAGCATTGGATTCGGAGCCTCCTCAAATGATTGTACAGGGTGATTCACCATAAATGTCCCCTCCCCTCTAGCTTACTTATTTTATAACCGATTTAAAAATTTTAAAAATCATCTGAAATGATTCTCCAGAAATTTTTCCCTGTTGCATCAGAAAATACAGGGTGCTCGGAAAAAACGATCTACAGAGTACTACTTGAATTTTCAAATGGAACACCCTGTAATTCATTGTATTTTTAGATCCTCCCTGAAGAGCTGATTTCATCAAAATATCACACTTGGGGTTTATCGGGAATGATTACAGAGATATAAGGTGTTCAAAATCGAGATTTCAACTTTTGTATTTTTTTGTGTCGAAACTATTCATTATTGGTCAAAATGGCTTATATGTTCCTATCCCAACTTTTGATTTACTATCTACTGACATTTAATTGGAACATATACAGTGTGGTTCAAGATTCAGAATTCTGATTACCCTGTATCTGTTCCAATTATTAAATGTCAGTAGATAGTAAATCAAAAGTTAAGAAACGGACATGAAAGCCGTTTTTGACCGATAAAGAATAGTTTCGTCACAGAAAAATCCTAAAGTTGAAAAATCTCGATTTTGAACACCCTATATCTCTGTAATCATTGTCGCTAGACTCCTAGTGTGATACATCGATGAAATCAGGTCTTCAGGGAGAATCTGAAAATACAATGAAAAATAGGGTGTTCCATTTAAAAAAATCAAATAGTACCCTGTAGATCGTTTGTTCCGAGCACCTTGTATTTTCTGATGTAGCGGAAAAAAACTCTACCGAAAATCATTTTAGATGATATTTTAAATTTTGCAATCGGTTCAAAAATAACTGAGCTAGAGGGTGGGACATTTATGGTGAATCAAATACATCAAATTTCATAATGGGCCCATTTCAGTTAGATATTTCATTTCATTATTTCGAATCACTAACTAACTTACTAAGCAACTAACTAACTAACTTACTTACTAACTAACTAACTAACTAACTAACTAACTAACTGACTGAATAACCTACTAACTAACTAACTCTACAACGAACTAACTAACTAACTACTTTACTAACAAACTACTCTACAGTCACAAACAATTTTTTCCTCAAAGCTCTATTCATTTTTTGAATAATAATTCGGATGCATGATATTTAATAACATGCGAAACGCGGTAAAACGCATGACGTAATCACCAGTGAACAATCCAACGCAACCTTATAAAATTCGTCTTTTATTACGTATGCATTATCTATTTCTGTGAGAGGAGTACAGGAATATTTTTGATTGCCATTTATTTTATCACAAT